CTGTGCAGTGACCTTCTCTCACGAGTTCTTCGAGGTGTGCTTTCCAAACAAACCAGTTATTCGTAGTGTGCCCGTGCGTCCCATGGAAGGCACAGTATTTCCTGGTATCCCTCTTGTCTGGATCTCCTTTCAAGGGCGACGGTCTTCTTACCCAAAGTTTGTCCTTCACTTGGGCTAAGATTTGATGTATGAGGGTGGAGAACTTGGTGTAGTTCTCTTCTGCCGTAGCGTTTCCTTGTGGGTGCGACCTACGTTTATCTTTGTTCCTGTTGTTAAACTTGTCGCTTCTTTGGCTTGCCCGTTTGGTTGGCTGATCTTCCTGCTTAGTAGACTTCTTCGTAGCGATTCGATCGTCATCATAGAGCACGTAGCGTTCCGTAGTCGCGAAGACCTCTGCCAGAGTCTGGCTATGAGTGATAGTCAGCTCGCGATATCAGTCGTGTTTAGCTGGAAGACTTTTCTTGAAAGCAAAGGATGCGATTCGATCATCACATCCTACAATGCTGGCCTTTTCTGCTTTGAATCTCTTGATGTAGTCTCGAAGGGATTCATCGGGCTTCTTGCGCAGGTTGTACAGGTGGTCAGGGTTCTTCTTTATCATCCGATAAGAAGTGTATTGTTTGGTGAAGACGTAAGCTAGCTCTTTCAAGCTGCTGATCAACCCGAATGGCAGGGTGTGGGACTAGTCTTGGGTTGCTCCTCGCAAGGTCATTGCAAACACCTTACACATCAGCGCGTCGTTGGCCATGTAGAGGATCATGACACTTTTGAAGTGCCTTAGATGGCTCTCGGGATCAAAATCCCCTTTGAAATGTGTGAACGAAGGCGTTGAGAACCGCTTCGGGGTAGCAGCCTGCTCGATATCAGTGGTGAGAGTCATAGAGTTTGCTTGGTCCACCTCCCTGTGTAGAGCATCTTCGAAATTTCTGCCAATCTTTAAATTTCAAAGTCGGTCGTTTATGAGCTTCTCGACATCTTTCGCGCGCATGGCTTTCTGATCACGTTGGTGACCTTCGTGATTCAGGCGGGGATGGTTGACTTGCAGAGGTTGACTTTCTTGGTTGCCCTGCTCGTGAGGTAGATTGGTGGATTGAGCTTGCGAAGATTCCTCCACGAGTTGTCATCGCGAGTTGGTTCTCGAGCCAGTTGGTGAGCATCGGTCATTGCATTCGTCATGCAATTGTTCATGGACTCGTGCCCCCCGTGAGCCCACCCTTGAATGGACACTTCTTTGCGGGCCCAAGCGAACGTGGATATTGGACTGTGGGCCCAACCTCTCGTGCACATTGGTCCTTAGATCTAACCTTGAACGGATTGTCGACCGACTCAAAGTACGACTTGCAGATGTCTGTGTCTCTTCAGCACGACCTCATTCTCTCCCTTGCCCATTTGTCCCTGTCCGACTAGTCTGTGATCTCTCAAGATGCTCGCCAGTATGCTCGCTGATCCTTTTCTCCTTGCCACAGTCTCCAAGGTCAGGGCCTTGATTCAAGTTGATCTGCCTGAGTAGTTAGCCAATTAGATTGTTTTGGTCGTTGACCGTCTGCACAAGTTGATTAACCTGTGAATTAAGGCCCGCTTGACTGCGTAGGTCGAGAAGAGAGGTGTGGATCGGGCCCAATGACATATGGGCTAGGGCTCCATTAGATGCATACACGGGTGCATACATCAAGTGTGGTTGCAAAGGAGGGAACGAATGGATTTGCTCCAAGATGGCGATGTCGCTTGGCCCTTGCGGTGGCAAGGTGGAGGAGGCCACGGGGCCATGGTTTGGTGCAACCGAGAGTGGTGCGGCAATTCCAGCCTCTATTTGGTGGTTCACGGGGGTGATTTGCAGCTGCAAGAAGCTGTCCCCACGGTTTGGTGGCTGTCCGGTTGCTACAATAGTTGTTTTGAGAGGTTGTGAGGCCTCTGAAGGTGGTTGGATGACAGGGGCAGCCACCAGGGGCTGCTGGAACTCGCTAGGGGCCTGCTGGGAAGCGTTGGCAGCCGTGGGAATCTGCTGCAAAATGCTGGCAGCAGCTGTACCTCGCTGTGGCAGCGAGGTTTTGGTAGTAGTCCGGAGTGCGCCGTGGCAGTGATTTTGCTCCTAGGGCGTTTGCTTCCAACCATTTTTGTGTGGAAGGCTTCGGAGGATTGGAAAATGGATTTGGAGCACGCTTTGAGTATTATTTCTCACTCTCAATGAAAGCACCAATTTGTGGGAGCGATTTTTGTCCCACAAGTATATTCAATCGAGATTCCTCCTTCCTCTTCGTCATCTTTTTCTCCCCGCAAAATAAATCGGAATAAGAGGACCACACCCGAGGGGGTGTTGGGCAAAGGCCCTCCGATGCCTAAGTTAGTTTAATTGATTCGTAGAGAAACAATAGCTAAAAAGGGTACGGAGATGTATGTAGAGTGTGAACCAGGTGGCCGGAGCCGTGTGTGAGAGAGAAAGAATTATGGTGGCTAGGGTTTGTGAGAGGGAATTTCTGCAGAGTTTCATATAGGATTTTAGACGTACCTTAACCCTTGTGCGTAGCCATCTATTTATAGGGGCCTCGAAGGCTAGGGTTTCAGAAGAATAATTCCACATATGGAAAGAAATTATTCTTCCCTGATTTGGTGAGATTGGTGTAATTAGGGATTTTATTTAAATCAAATCCTTAATTAAGGCAAGAATCAAATAAATCTCAATTAAATAAGGTAACTCCCAATAAATTGAGTAACTCCCAATTAGGTCAAATAATTCCCAAATTGATTGGCTTAATTATTTGACCTATAATCTGAGATATTTTGCTTCTACAACACTTGACAACAAGAGAGGAACTTGTTTCAGTTATTCTACGTCCGAGGGTCCTAAACTTGTTTTATGGCCACCAACTTTGGATATGTTGTAGTGAACAGAAAATTGAGCAACATTCAAGAAACAACCTTGGACATCTGAGCAAGGGAAATCGACTCGCAGGAGTGAGTAAGGTGCTGTAGAGTTAAAACAGCAGAACAAAGGACTTACTGACCTTGAACAAGGTTTCAAATGGTTAGAGAACTACAATTGCTGTGAATTTCGGATATGTAATAGTTCTCTAATGAAGGAACAGCTCATATGAAGAAACTGTTTTGAATGATCAATAGAAATTGACATGCAAGAAAGAATTCGAGCCTACATCAATACAGCAGACAGGAATGAGCAGGCAACACTTCAACACGCTTTGAGATGACTACACTTCTTAGATTAAACTCCAATTTTGACAGACTATAGCCAAGACATAGATAAACAACTTTAATGAAAGGAATGGAGCCATTAGATCAAAGGAAGGCCACATGCAAGAGTGAATAAGGGCACACTAGAGTGAAATCAGCAAACAGAACGAAAGTGAAGACTAGTCTAACCTTGAACACGATTTGAGGTAGATAGACATCTCCAATGGCCTTGCAATTGTGATATGTCATAGCTGTTGAACAGAGGAACAAGTTTGATGAATACTATTTCACCAAAAGAATAGTGGAAAATAGACATTGAAGGCCAAACCCGAGCCTTACGCAGAGAATCAGGCTGTGACGAACAGCTTGTACTCAAACTGCGTTTTAGGTATCTAAACTTCTTCGTTTGGGCTAAGGTTCGGATATTTGGTAGACAACAGAAAACGGAGCAACAATCATGAAGGAGCCTTTGCAATCGGAGCAAGAAATATCAATATGCAAGAGTGAGTAAGGTGTTGTACAATCAGGATAGTATATCACTAGCTAAGCTTGAACAAGGTTTCGGATGGTTATAGATCTCCAATAGCTGGGAATTTTGGGAATGCTATAGTTCTCTAACAGAATTACAACTCTTATGAAGGAAGATTTGTCGAAGAAGCAATAGACATTGACATGCATGGGGTAATCAGAGCCTTCATCAACAAAGTAGATAAGAATGAGCAAGTGACATTACAACACGGTTTTAGCTTACTATATTTCTGGGATGAAACTCAAATTTTGATAGTTTATAGTTGAGATATATAAAAACAACTTTCATGAAGGGCGAGATGTCATTAGAGTATGAGAAAGCTACTTTCAATAGTGATTAAGTCGACAATAGAGTGTAACCAGCAGATAGAAAGAAAGAGGGTAACTAGTCTAACCTTGGACAGACTTTCAGATGGTTAACAAACTTGAATGGCTCTCAAATTTGGATATATTAGAGATCTCAACCTTAGGAACAAAGTTTATGAAGACAGAAACACCAAACGAGGAACAGCAACGGCCATGCAAAGCCAGACCCGTGCCTTACCCAGAGCACCAGTCTCTACTGAACAGCCTCCCCTCAAACTGAGTTGTAGGTGTCTAGATTTATTTGACTTGGCTCACTTTTGGATATGTTCTAGTCGACTCGCAGATGAACAAGTCTGAAGAAGGGACGATTTCGGTTTGAGCTTAGGAAGTGGATGTTTTGGACCTGTAAACAGGTCTGTAGGGTTTTGATGAGGTTCTGACGGGTTTGGGAATTATGATGAGTTTGTGGGACTCTATGTGGGGGAATGAAGAGAATATTTGTGGGACTTGAACTGACCAGACTTGGAACTCATCAAATACAGGAGTGGGAAGATCTGACTTGGTGTATATTAAATTTTGACTTCTCCCAAATTACGATTGTGCCATTGCACTTCTATAGATCACAACTTTCTCGATAAAACTCTGATTTGAGTCCACTAGGTGTCTACGAACTCGTATCGATGCACTCTACGCAACGGTACTACTAAAATCCCCAAATTCTTTCCCGAACAAAAATTCAACTGTTATAAAATTATCTTTTACTTGAATATTTTAATAATGAAATATTAATTTAGGATTGGGTTATCACACATACAAGTGCAATTACAACTTTTAACTCTCACGAGTAAAATAAAATACAAATAGACACTGCAACAAGCACTAAAATCAACACCGAAACTGCAAACAAAATACACGAAATCAAAAGCAGCAACCCAAGTTGACAAAAGATCTGCAAAGCAACCAACAGAGGCAGCAAAGAAGTCCCAAAGCAACTTGAAAATTGACAACTCCGGATCTGCAAAAAAGAAAACCGAAAAACCAAAAGAGCCAGTCACACAATCCCAGCCTAGAACTGCGAGGAAGGGAAGCAGCAAAAGGAAAGGAGGGACAAGGAGGAAGGGCGGGTGAGATGCAGAGGGGACGGGTATAAGAGAGGGAGGAGAGGGGAGAAAGATGGGGAGAAGAAAAGAGGAGAGGAAAGGGGAAGAGCTGGGAAAGGGGTAGGGGAGGGGATGAGGGGACGATAGGAGAGGAGAAGGGATCGAGGGAGGAGGGGGAACCAGCCACCGACCCCCAAAGGGGGCGGCGGCTGCTGTAGGTTCCTAAGGTTTTTTCTCTCTTCAGACTAGAGAGAGAAGAGAGGCCTAATGGTACGCAGGGTTAAAACTTTAATGAAAATAATCTAGTTTTTTCTTAAGATCACTTGATTCACTAAATTGTCTAAGTTTGTGGATGAAGAACCATGTGGACTGGTGGCTTCTTCTGCTATTTTCTTCCACTCCATGACCTTATTTTTCATTTTCTTACCCTTCTCTCCTTCCATTAACTCTTTAACAAGCTTCTCTACTTGGTCTCTCTTGACATCATTGTTGATCTCCAAGCCAATTCCCCATTCATTGCAAACATAGTAACAGTTTGTTTGTTGGTCTGCAAAAAATGGCCAACAAAGCATAGGCACTCCTGCACACAAACTCTCAATGGTTGAATTCCAACCGCCGTGTGTCAAAAACCCTCCGACTGATGGGTCGTTAAGGACTTGCTCTTGTGGGCACCAACTTGCTATTAGACCTCTTTCCTTTGTTTCAGCTACAAACTCAGGTGGCAAAATTGCTGATTCACCAACAACCAAATCAGGCCTAATTACCCAAAAGAAAGGAAGCTTACTATTCGCAAGTCCCCATCCAAACTCAACAAGTTGTTGTGGTGTCAGGACTGCCATGCTGCCAAAATTCACATACACAACTGAATTTGGTGCCTTGGATTTTAGCCATTCGAGGCATTCAGTTTCTTCTTTCCATAAACTGTATCCAATATGCTTCAAAGGGTCTTCTGGTAATTGATTGAGAAGTAATTGGTCAGGGCCAATGGCATAAACAAGTGGAAGCATAGATGCCAAAGCATTCAAAACATCTGGCTCCAATGCGTCAAAAGTATGAAGCACAACTGCTGAAGCTTTACGAACTCTTTCAATTGATTCCAAGGACAAGTTAAACAGGAAGTCATTGGGATCTGTAGTTCGAAAATTCGTCGGTAGATCCCTCAAACGAATACCTTTCATTCCTGGAATCCAATCTATTACCTTGTCCAAGAAGCCATTTGTCAAACAGCTCTCATCTACATAATTAACACCCAAAGTAAGATTTAATTAGAGAAAAGCTTCATTTGTTAATAAATAATATCATACAAATAATTCCTTAAAAAACCTTTATTTCACCTTTGAGGGGCGCAAGACCTTTTTCCACCAAAGCAGGGTATTGCTTATAGCCCATGAAGCTGCATGCAGCAATAGTAAACAAAAGCACTATAGGAACTCCAATTTCTTCTGCAGCTGTGGTTGTGAATGGCATGAAACCATCTGAAACAATGCAAGTCACTGGAGGATTGATATCACTGTTGGAAGTTGATCTGTCATTGAGTTTCATAAGGAGGTCTCGAAACGGGGCCAAGAGTTTGTTGTTGATGGAATCAGAGACCAAAGAGACATCTTGGGTTGCATCTTGATCTGAACCAGCTGGAAGGCCATCAGGAATAGTTTCGAATCGAAAATCGGGCAACCCGTCAAGGGAGTTGGGTCCAAGAGATTTAAGAAAGCGGTTGTGGTTGAACTCTGTGTTGACAAAGGTTACATGAACACCTCTATGGTGGAGGAGCTTTGCAAATTTGAGGTTTGCCTTTATATGACTTTGAGCTGGAGCTGGAACACAAACAACATGAGGTTTATTAGCTGCCGCCTTGGAACCCATCTGGCTTAGATTATATTTTGTGTTTGTGTTTGCTGCTTATGTAGATTATGTGTGTGTATGTGTTTGTTGCTTATGTAGTCTCTCTTAAAGTGGTGGAGTGGCCAATATCAAATTGAATACATGTTGCATTATTATTTTTATTATTTGCTTCACTTTTCCCTTTAGACTTGCGGAGTACGCATATTCGGGTATGGGTGGTCAAATTATAAAGTATTGACAACAAGTATCGATTACTTGTCTTGCCCCACAAACAACTAAATAGAGTGCGTAGACCGATCGAATATTAAAATTAAAAAAGCGAAAAAAAGGAAGAAGAAAAATCTTACCAGTCAAACAACTAAATGAAGTGCGTAGACCGATGGTCCATCGGCGAATGATGCATCAGAGGTATAAAAATAGAGGGTAGATTTGTGGTGGCGGATGAGGATTTTGTTAATATGAGAGCATATACAAATACATTCTCAGTGAAAAAGTCACTTGATTTGCAGACCAGCACCAGTGATCTTAAGTTCGAACCCCATGTCACTTGATAATGTGTGTGAGAAACTTCCTTCTCTCTTGTACTATGGACTATCGATTATATTTTAAAAAAAGTTGAGTGGATTAGAAATAATTGGGCTTTGGGCTAAATTGATGAATGCTTTTTTTTTTTTTTCTTAAAAAAATAATAATTTATATTTGCGTTATTTAGTGGGCTAAGTTGAATTACAAATAGAGATTTTCTATTTAAACCCCACACTTCTCTTAGTTCACAGTTTACCCCATGTTCTAAGTTCACCCCAACTTTTAATTTAAATTTTCACAATTTCTAAATAAACTCCACTATCTTCCCAAACTATCCTTAAATACACACCAAGCTGAAAAAATAAGGAAAACAAAAAATCTATTTAAACCCCACAGGCTACCCTTAGAGGAGGAAGTACGTTCTGCAAGCTCTAATGATAATTCATTAATTTTGAATAATCTCTAGAACATACAGTGGTGTTGGAAACATGCTGAGGGTTCTCTAGTAGCACATGAATGGCGTCCACCAGAATCTGTGCCTGTTTGCTTGTTGTCCAGCCTCAAAACTATTTGCATACGGGGATTCCACGGGAGGCTATACGAGATGGAGGTGGCAAAGTATTTGTTGAAGCATGGCGAGGTTTTGACTAAGGTGACAATTTGTTATACCAATGATTTGGGTGTAGCAGAAGAGATGAGGTTACGGCAGGAACTTTCAAAGTTCCCAAGGGGTTCAAAGACTTGCCAAGTTGAACTTTTGGAACTCAAGTCCTAGGTCTTATGATATATATATATATATATATAGAACCCCATTACAACATTTGTGAATAGGATACTTTCTTTTTCGATGAAACGTGAATTTATTAGCAGTTTTGGAGGAATTGGCATATGGCCTTATTATATATAATCAATTTTGCAAAGAAATTCACAAGATATGTTTATTGAAAGAGCTTGAAAAGTATTATAATGAATAATTGTTATTGAATTGATTGTTGTTTACAATGATACATCCGCATAGGATATATAGACAAAACAAAAGTATAAAGTTGCAATGCACTAGGAATAGAATATTGAAACTGTCAGTGGATGTTTCCACGCCTGGTTCTAAGGAAAACAATGTTTGCTAGTTTAATTTACTATTGTATGTTAACTAGTGGTATTCACTGAGTGTGTCTTCTGTCATGTCTTCTGTCATCATTATGTCTTCTATCATCCTCCCGCAAGCTCAGAAGCGGAGAGCGAATGAGCTTGGATTTTAAGAAAGTAAAGCGAGCAAAAGAGAGGCCTTTCGTAAAAATGTCTGCAAGTTGGTGACTAGTGGATGGATGACCTTTTTTGTCTTTTTACACAATAATAAAACTTACAGCTTAATGATTTAAGTATTGGGGTGAACTAAGAGAAGTGTGGGGTGTAAATAGAAAAATCTCTTACAAATATCATGCTCAGTGTTTACAATGAATTAGTAAAAAATAGGAGTTGTTCTAACTCAGATGATTTAGAGCATTTACTCTTGCACTTCTCTTCCTTTGTGATCTTTTTAGGGAAATAGCTCTAAATGCCACTTTTTTTTATAATTTTAACTGAAAATACCACCTCTGCCCAAATTTTTTGCAAATATCACCTATAAATACATACTTATTGCCCATTTATTGCCCAGATAACACCTGGTCAGTTTTTGGTTTCTCTTTCAGCTCTCTCTCTCTCTCTCTCTCTCTCTCTCCATCTAGCTAACTACGCCTCTTCTCACAAAGAAGAAGATCAAGAACAACCTACAAAACCCACAGCTTTGCCCTCAAAACCCAATTCTTCCTCTTCCTCTCTGTTTTCTTCTCTACCCAAATCCAAACCCCAACTGCATCTCTCTTCGAATCCCTTTTGCAACCTAAACAAATCCAAACAAAACCATCTTTTTTGAATATGACAGCATGTCTTGGCATTAGGTGGCCATTGTTTGAGCATTTTGGTCCAAATTTGTGTTTGTGTTTGCTGCTTATGTAGATTATGTGTGTGTATGTGTTTGTTGCTTATGTAGTCTCTCTTAAAGTGGTGGAGTGGCCAAGATCAAATTGAATACATGTTAAAATTATTTTTATTATTTGCTTCACTTTTCCCTTTAGACTTGCGGATTACGCATAAATGTTAAAATTTAAAAAGAAAAATCTTACCAGTCAAACAACTAAAGGTAGAAAAATAAAGGGTAGATTCAGTGGCGAAGCTAGGATTTCATGTGTGTGGGGGCCTCTTACAAATTATAAAGAATAAAAAATTCGAACTAACAATATATACGAAAAATAGTATATATATATATATATATATCACATATGTCAAGAATTATATTGCTTATTGGTTGCAATCATAATTGTCCTCAACAAAAGGATAGACAAATACATTCTGAGCAAGAAAAATTACAAGAGATAGACAAAGAGTAGCGATTTAGCAAATATATTTAAAGCTTTCCCCCCCATTAAACCTAATAGAAAGCAAAAATCAAAATTTCACAAACTAAAAAAAACCTTAGGTCCCTTCATGCATTCATATTATACATGAAAAAAATGTTTTATGTAAAAATATTGACTAAGTATGAAAAATGGTTTTTCGGAATAATCATTTTCTCAAGATAATTTTTGGCGGCTTTTATTCCTTACACATCAAATAAGAAAACTTGATTTCATGGGATTTTAGTATGAAGTATATATTGACTTAATGAGCCTTCATTTTTAGCCTAAATCATATTTTGCACTAAAACCGATTTATCATATTTTGATTTGGTGGGAATTTGATTTTCTAGTATTTTTATTTGAATTCAAATGGGGGATACTTCCTTATTTACATTGTAAACTTAAGTAAAT